AGAAAAGAAATGAAACTCACAAATAAGCATGTAGTAGGGTTGCCTAGTCCTCATATCAAACACCAAACCCAGTGCCACCGAGTTGGTTCTGACTCAGTGATATTGCAGGATAGAGTAGAACTGCCCCGTAGGGTTTCTAAGGTTATAAATCTCTACAGAGACAGACTGCCACATCTTTCTTCTGTAGAGTGACTGTTGGGTTCTAATCACCAACCTTCTGTTGTTTTGCATTTGAATGCTTTAACCACTGTGCCACCAGGTCTCCCCTAGTTCTTATAGCTTGGAATTTAAAGAGGGGAGGGGTTTGATGGTTTTGGAAGAGACATGCCATCTCTGCCTTCAAGTCTTGATTCATTAATTGTTCATGTGTGCTGGTCCTGAATAGAAAATAGATTTACATAGGTCACAATGCAGCAAGAGATTTGTTCCTTATATGCTGTGGTTTTCTTGTGCTGGGAGAGAGCTATTCAAAGGGGGCAACAATGAGCTATAGAAAATTAGTGCAAAAGGGGAGGACATCTGCAGCAAGCTAGTAAATTATATTTCTGTTATTCCTGTTACATAAATGCTGGGAGATAATAAAAGGACCGAGGATCACAAAAGTTAAATAGTCCAAAAGAGGTGATCCTCTTTCTGCTCCTTTCTCATATCATGCAAATTTCCTGGAAGGAATCTCAGAACATAATGTCTTGGGAGAGTGGATAGTGTAGAAAGATGGGAGTACTGGCATCATGACATTCTTCCATTCATCTCTTGAGTCCATTTAGACATAGGTTTCCTCATTTTCCTTGAGTCGCTCGAAGAAGGAATTAAAATAATGGCAGACTATGTAGTAAACAAGCTTTCTCAACAAAATCTAGGGAAGTATGCTCAAATGTAGTTTCTAGTTTCCCACAGGGAACTTGGCTCTTCAGCAATGTATATCTTTACATACTTTGGACATGTTGTCAGGAGAGACCAGTCTCTGCAGAAGGACATCGTGCTTGGAAAAGTGGAGGTGGGCAGTGAAATAGAGGAAGGCCCTCAACAAGATGGACGGACACGGTGGCCGAGGCCTAGGAACAACTGTGGGGATGGCACGGGGCCAGTCAATGTTTTCTTCTGTTGTGCACAGGGTCGAAACCGATTAGATGGCACCTAACAACAGCATCTTTACATGAAGGCTTTGTCTGTGTACACACCGATACAGCCAAGGAATCTGGGGGTGGGGGCAAGATCTGTCTTTAAGGAGCTTTTATTTATTTGTTTATGTCTTTTCAGATTGGCATGGTAGCTTGGAAAATGACCCTTAAAAGTCCTGAATATCCAGAAGGCCGAGATGCCATTGTAATTGGCAATGACATAACATACCGAATTGGGTCCTTTGGACCCCAAGAAGATTTGCTGTTTCTCAGAGCCTCTGAGCTTGCCAGGGCAGAAGGTATCCCACGCATCTATGTAGCAGCCAATAGTGGAGCAAGAATTGGACTTGCAGAGGAAATTCGTCATATGTTTCATGTGGCCTGGGTAGATCCTGAGGATCCTTACAAGGTACCGCTGAAGAACATAAAATGTTTCAAAACATTACATGATTTTGCAATTGAGTGTACATGTGTAGAAGAGTAGTAGGGGGTTAAGTTAAAAAATCAGCACTTAAGATGACATTACATATAATCAAAATTATGAAAATTCCTTAATAAGTAATTGGTTCCATTGAATCAGAATCGTTTTCCCTCCAGCTTTGAAACAGGTTTCTTTGTTGTTGTTGTTGTTGTTGTTGATGGTGATGGTGATGTGTATCCACCTTGTAGCATACTTGATGAAATAGTAGGCACACATTTAGTTTGGGCCATGGTAAACCAAAAATACATATCTTTAAACCTTTTCATCAAAGTTTATAGAATTTATCACCAGAAAATTTTCTTAGATTCCTAACTTCTGTGATTATTCTAAGTGATGATGGATTTTCCTCTTTTTGTTGTATCCCTCCCTCATGCCACACCCCAGTACTCTTTATTAGAATATTTAGTCAGTCTCACTCATCCCTTACATATTTTAGTTTCTAGTTCAATGCCACTCTGTCCAATGTGAGTCTTGTTAGAGTTCTTGGTGGTCACTGTAACTACATAGATGACCCTGCCCATATGTAACCTGACCTCTTGGTCCTAGACTTCTTTTCCTCTCAGGGTTGTGTCCTGCACCCCACCTCAACTTCGACTTCTCATTCCCCACAATTCCCTATAATTTCAATCTCAAACATCCTGTTCTTGACCACCACTACTTCCATCCCCTTTCTATCTTTCCTGCTCACTCTCTCTAGTACCATACATCTAACAGTCCTTTGACAGTACCCAAACTTGAAGCTATCGATTCACCCACTTTTCCTTGGTCCTTTATTTGTACTTTATACCAGCTATCAGTTGACTCTAACTCTTAGAAACCCCATGCCCATCAAAACACTGCCACACTGCCAGATCCTGCACCACGCTCGTAATTGTTGGTATTCCTTTGTACGTGCCGTTCTTTCAGCCAAGTATGCTTCTTTGTCTGTCTAGTTAGTTCTCATTTTCTCACCTCTTTACTGGAGACACGGTCTTGGTGAGGCCTTCCCTAAATCTTCTTTCTAAAATCGCAACTCTCCTAGCTTCTCTTAGACCAGTGGTTCTCAGCCTTCCTAATGCTGCGATCCATTAATACAGTTTCTCATGTCGTGGTGACCCCCCCCCAACCATAAAATTATTTTTGTTGCTATTTCATAACTGTCATTTTGCTACTATTGTGAATCGGGCAACCCCTGTGAAAGGGTCGTTCCACTCCCAAAGGGGTCATGGCCCACAGGTTGAGAATCGCTGTCTTAGACCTTGTTCCCACTTCTTTTGCTTTTTATTTATTTACCTTGTACATTGTCTGTGTTCCCCACTGGAAGATAAGTGTGTTTAGTGACATACTAGTCCCTGAAAGCATATTCATCACGAGTCACGAAAAATCAACGACAGATTCCTGTCTCTTCCCAGTTATTCTCCCTGTAGATCTTTAACTCACTAGGTTGAATGTTGGCCACAACTTCTCACAATATTTAAAGTATTTTTTTCTTTTTAATTTTTTTGACTGGGTGGCTAGTTCACCTAAGTTAAACACACGTACAAGGTAGCTCTACTTAGAGTAATGTATATATGTATAAAAACAAATCAAATATGAATTGTTAGTATAATTTTGAAAGTGTAAGTGGAATTAGAAACAATTGGAAAAATCAAAAGATCTGAGTTCAGGATTTACTATTAGCACTGCATATAGATTTCAGATTTTAATATTGAATCTCCTAGTTTTGTGATTCTCTAAATCATTCCCTACCTGTTTATATCATGATAATTCCATGGATTGTGAAAGTGAAGAATAGCAATTCATACAATTCTTTTTAAATTTTTATATTGATACCTTTAAAGAGATGTCAATGACTATTAGACAATGACACTTTGAACCCTCATGAAACTGAAGCTAGTAGAATGTACTTGGAAGGACAGTCAGTCAATGACTAGTGAAATAGACACTTTTCTCTTTCAAAGGAGAACTGTCTGCACCAGCATCTATTAGGCAGTAACTCTAAGAAGTGATGTGGCCCCGCAAAAACAAGTTGTATTAACGTGTGCTTTGCTGTATCTTCTGGCTCTGAGATGATGACAAATAATGATTGAAAACTATTGGTGTTTCACAGGGATTCAAGTATTTATATCTGACCCCTCAAGATTATAAGCGAGTCAGTGCTCTCAATGCTGTCTATTGTGAACATGTGGAGGATGAAGGAGAATCAAGGTAGGTGTGTATGCATCAGAATAATTTGGCATAGACTCAAGAAAGGAGGAGGGTATGGTTTATTTTTCCTACTGTCCTGCTGGTAGCAACACTGGAGAGCACTGAAGAGTGCTTAGTACACAATCTAGAAGGACCATGGTTGTATCCTACCACTTCTTCGCTGAATACCCCTGGTATCGATTGGGTTTTGTAATTATAGTACTACTCGTTTTAGAAAACCTGGCACATGTAAACAATTAGAAAGGAAAAATCCCCAAATCTGTTATAGTATGTTCTTTTCTATAGACATATTTTTCCTACATAATTACGATCATAAAAGATAGGCTCTGTCATAATTTATTCTTCTACTTAAAGAGTATCTTGGGAAAATGTTCTCCTATTCTTAAGATATTACTTAAGCATATGATGTTCCAATGGCTGAATAGAATTTCATTTTCATTAATATATATAAGTGTATACTTTATTGCTAGTTTTCACTAGTATGTCCCTGAGCTGAATATTATCTTATGTATATTTTTCATTATAACTATCTCTGATTACTCCCTTTGAATAAGTTTTTTGAAGGATAATCCTCCCAAATTGCTTTCTCAAGTTCTCTACTCATACCAGCAGTATGTGAGAGTGCTTACTTCCTCTCTCCACTTTTCCTCGACCCTTGCCAGATAAAAACAATTGTTATTTTAACTTGGATTATTTTGCTTACCACTGAAGTTGAACATTTTTATTATCTAGCTGCAAACTTTTTACAGAATGTTAATCAGTTGCTCTAATATCATTGATTGAATAATTCATACTTTTCTCACTTTTATAATAATCTTCACTCAATTATACTAGGCTTTTTGTTCTTTTGTTGTTGTCATTATCTATTCTAAGGCTAATGCCACACTTTTTAACTATTGGGCAAATTTCTTCACATTCTCAATTCCACCCCCATCCCTCCCCAAGTGTATTGACTATTTTTGTCATTTTATATATATATAGGCTTAAAAATATTTTTTTGCCCTTAAAATTTTTAAATAAATCATTTTATTGGCACTCTTATAATAATCTGTACATCGTTGTATCATGCACATTTCTACATATGTTGCCATCATCATTTTTTAAATTCATAAATTCCCCCCATCATGATTTTTATTGAAATGGTGTTAGTTTTATAATTATTTAGGAAGGCCTGACATATTAATAATATATATACATATACATGTATATTTTGAAATATGGAACACTTCATGGATTTGCATGTCATTCTTGCACAGAGGCCCATTCTAATTTTCTCTAAATCGTTTCAGTTTTAGTGTATGTGCTGCCAAAGCAAGCACTGTCTTCATAATAACTCTTCCCCAAAGGAAAGTATGTTTGTCTATTTATTCAAGTGTATATTTTAAAGTTTTGTCATTTTTTTCTTATTGGTTACACTTGAAGTTTCCACATTTGCTTAGTTTATAGTACCGAGCATCTCAGTAATTTTCTCATGACACGTTAGACTAAAAGATATATATCTAATAGCGCTCGTACTAAGTGGTTAGAATGTTCCATTCAAAAGTAGTTATGGATCATTAAAAATAGAATGTATTTTACATTTAGGTGTATTCCTTTTTCAGATTGTTTTTAAGTTGTTGGGATAGACATCCGTATAAAAGTTGTTTAACCCTGATTTTTTATTCCTCATTACTAGTATCTAAGGGAGCTATTGGTTTTGTACCTTCTACTAAAGCAAGTGATTTTTCTTCTACTTCTCTGTAAGTTAAATATCAAGTAAACTAATATGTGTGAAGTTCTTAGCACAGCATTATGTAACTAGTAAACAAAGGCCCTGGTTGTTGTTGTTGTTGTTGTCTGTAAGGTGGGGCTGATGATAGCTATCACATTGGCTATTGTGAAAGTCTAAAGTCATACACATAAATGTATTTTATTAATTGTAACAGACAATGCAAAAGGTTTTATTTTTATTTTTTCAGTTGCCCTTGAATGTGTTCCATCTCATAGCAACCCCATGTGTGCAGAGTAGAACTTCTCTGTAGGGTTTTCAAGAAGCAGATCACCAAACCAGTCTCAGGAGCCACTTCTGGGTGGATTTGAATTACCAACCTTTCAGCCAGTAATTTCACATATAACTATTTGTGCTACCCAGAGCCCCTGATTTTTGTTAGTAATAGTAAAAGTCATCTAATATTAAAGAATGATAGTCTTAGATGGTGGAAGGCCTGAGTCATTGAAAAGAAAATTGGAGGTTTTTATTTTTCACGTAGCGTAGTAGAAGATGCCCTGTACCCAGTCACCTAAGAAACTGGAGGCAGTCCTGAGGAGGGAAGGGTCTGCTGTACAAGAACACTGTCTGAGCCCATTCGTATTTGTGACTTTTTGGCATGTGGACCTTAGCAGAAGAGTACCTCTCCAGTCCCCCAATTAGTGTTTCTCATTAACCTCTTAAAGGAGATTAGCTTCACCTATGACATAACTCTAGAATCTAGAGCAAAATGAAGAATTATAGAATGACTGGGAGAGGCTAAAAATAGGCCAGGGAATTTGGAAAGCAGAGATACAAAACCATGGACAAACAGAGGGCTAAGATAAGGAATTGATCAGAGGCTGGAAATTAAGAAGGGTGCTAAGAAATAAGGGAGAAGAAACCAGGTTCAGAGCCACTATGAGATACTTATTTATTCAATTTATAAAACTGTGCCTTGTATGTACCCTTCTGGGTACACACGGAACCATAAGTAATATATGTCCATCTCTACTTCGAACTTAGTATTTTTTCTTTCTTTTATTAGTTGCATTCCCCATCTCCCATTTCCCATTATCAGCTATCATTCCTAATCCCCTGCCCACAGGACAGATGAGTGATTCTCCCTGGATGCACAGGATGCTTTCTGGACATCGTGGTCAACATATCACTTCTACATACATTCCTCTTGTCCCTCCAGAGGATGGCAGCCAGGAACCCTCATGTATACACTTGATATTTATGAGAGAGCAGGAACAGGAATACACAGTTTTGACCTTCCCCTTCATCCCTGTCTTGGAAAGAGAGATCATTTTTGACTTAAGAAAGCAGGCTGAGCATTCCCACTACTCCTCTACTTCAAGATTTTATTCTTATGTAGCATCTAAAGTTTTTTATTTAATGGCTATAACTTACGACAGAAATACATCAATCCTTCTCTAGAAACAAAAGCAGGCATCTGAAAATTCAGAGCTGGCTATGTGTCAAATCTTTTCATGGTTGTTCTCAACCTGTAGAGGTTGATACTGTTATACCCCATTTTATAGAAGTTACTATCCCCATAGTCAGGGCAGGTATTTAAAACCATTTGCTAATTTCTGGATTCTGTTCTAGGTTCCTATATACCATGTTGCTTCCAGGTAAAACAGCCATTGACCTACAAAGGGAAGACTTATAAGTCTCCAAGTCTTATAATCATGAGACTTAGGAATATAATTTGAAGAATATAAAGTCTTGGTGTTAAATAAAAGCTTTCAGAATGCTTTTCACAGCCCTTTAGTTGTGATTATTCTTCCAGTGTAATACCTTTATAAGGTTACTGTGTATACCTTTCTAAGTCGGCTTGGCTGTATCCAATAGGTACAAGATAACGGATATTATTGGTAAGGAAGATGGATTTGGAGCGGAAAATCTTCGAGGTTCTGGAATGATTGCTGGAGAATCCTCATTGGCCTATGATAAAATTATCACCATCAGCCTGGTAAATATTGCTAGAATTTAAAAAAAACTTTAAAAAAAATTTCCAAATATACTTTCTTTATTTTTTTAAAAACACTGGGGCATAATCCACATAGCATACAATTCAGTAATCTAATCACATCCAGAAGAGTTGTACAGTCATCACCACAATCAGTTTTGGAACATTTTCTTTTCCTTTTTTAATCATTTTATTGGGGCTCATACAATTCATCACAATCCATACATACATCAATTGTGTAAAGCACACTTATACATTTGTTGCCCTCATCATTCTCAAAATTCACTTTCCTCTTGGATTCCTGGAATTAGCTCCTTCATTTTCCTTTTTCCCCTCCCCCTTAGAGTTAAATTTTTTTTAATTCTGTTGTGTGGCTAGGATTAATTTTTACTCGCATCCCTGCTCTTCAATCCCAAATGAGAAACTCCTTCAAACATTGTCTATCTATAATTTGATTTAATCATGCATGATTATGGGAAGAGTGGATATAACTGAATTTTCCAGATAAAGTTAGCACTTACTTTTAGCCTTTAGTTCAATTTCTTATTGCCCGACATATCTTACCAGCACTTTAGCAGCTTGAATGTCGTCTCCTCTTACTACTTTTCTTGCTATACTTCTAGTGGACGTGTTTAGCATCTGTGGAATGAACAAAGTATAGGAGAACCAAAGGACCAAGATGGCCCTTTAACTATCTCATACTTGAATCATTGAGTGAATTCTGCCTCTTATTTTCTTTGGCTTTTAATTTTAATTTTAATCAATCTTCATAAAATAAATTAGTTTGTGAATGTGGATTTTTCACATCTGTGCCTTAGTTATTTCAGCTTGGGAAAGGAAATAAATATTTAATGTGTAGAATGTGTTCTTATTTTAAGGTAACATGCCGGGCTATTGGAATTGGAGCTTACCTTGTCCGGCTGGGACAGAGAACCATCCAGGTTGAGAATTCTCACTTAATTCTGACAGGAGCGGGAGCCCTCAACAAAGTAAGTTTTCAAGGCTTTGAGGGGATTGTGTGACATTGTTTAAACATTAATGTGAATTCTTAACTAAAGAGCCTGTCTAGGTGAAAGCCATTCGTTCTAGGCCTTCCTCAATCTCTCTTCCCTGCCCATTGTCTTACTTTTGTTTGTATGTTTTTGTTTTGAGTTAGTTTTTTATTCTTTGACAAATATTTTGAGGACCTACAAACCCATATACTGTTCTGGGCCCTGTGGATATCAGTGAACAAACTATAAAATCTTTGCTCCAAAGAACTTTTAACATCTCTGAAAATGAGATACTTCCATTCTGTGCCCCTCCAGCATGTTCTCATAGATATGAGTGAGGACTATCAGATTCACGGGGAGCTCTCATTCAGATCGACACGCATGAATTACACACTGACCCACTTACGGAGAATAGCAAATGTTATTATTTTGAGAAATTTGTGAAGACGCCTCTAAAAAAGTGACACTTTGGGGATGATCCCTTATACATAGAGAAATATTCAGTAAATAATGGATGGGAGGGTAGATGCCTTGATAGGTTTCTGGGTAAAGTATGATGTAGAGATTTAATATCCCCTCAAAAGAAGTGATTTTGCCTTTTTGATTCAAACTCTTTGGTGAGTCCAAAGGGGGGGGGGTGGTGGATACTGAGGTCAGTGCTTGAAGAGTGCAAGCTATCTGAGGATACCTGAATAGACAATGGATATTACAGTTCTGACTTCTTTGCAGGCATAGAAAAATTGTCTTCTTTTTAGAGCCAAGGATATGTAATGGAAGTCTGGGACTGTAGCCTTTCAGCACCTCAGCTTTCTTATCTGTAAAAGGGGTGTAGTAATTTATACATATTTTTATGGAAATAAAATGGGAAAACATAAGTAACCCTACCCAGTACTTTTCACAAAGTATTTATCTCTTCAAAATTTCACTTCCCTTTTTCTTTCTTAAGAATGGTTTGCCGCAACACAAGGAATCCAGGATAGATAAACCCCTCAGGGCCAACAATGAGAGTAGAGATACCAGGAGGATTAGGGGAGGGTGGGGGGAGAAAAGGGAGAATCGATCACAAGGATCAACCTATACCCCCTCCCAGGGAGTGTCAAACAATGGAAAAGTGGGTGAGGGGTGACGGAGGATGATGTAAGATAAGAAAATAATAATCTATAACTTATCAAGGGTTCGTGAGGGAGGGTGAGCTGGGGAAGGAGGAGGAAGTGGGGAGCTGATATCAGGGGCTCAAGTGGGAAGAGAATGCTTTGAAAATGATGATGACCGCCTATGTGCAAATGTGCTTGACACACTGATGAATGTATGGATTGTGATAAGAGATATAAGAGCCCCCATAAAAGTATTTAAGTAAAAAAAAGAATGGTTTGGTGATTGAATTTATGGAATTATTTGTATACAGAAATTATATTGTGTGCTGTGCTCACGTGAGTTGCAGTAACCTTTCTATCAAGGCTTGCCTTTTGGGAGGTTAGGAACTCCAATCCAAGTGTCCCATCCATCATTCCCACGTACTACTTCTACTTCCATTGGTCCCATTAATTTTGGGGAATGTCAGAAATTAGGAAAATTGTCTTTCACTTCTTTCATTTGAACTCAATTCTCTTGGATTGCTTTCTT